AGGACTCTAAAGCCGATATTGACTCTAAGACGATGATGACTTTGGGCTTACCAAATTTCACTGTTAACATGACCATAACTGGTCGCGTCTGGGAAAATAGGACCCATTTTCGCGTGCGGTCCATTTAAGAGGACCTCACGGAAAAATGGACCGCACGCGAAAATGAGCCTATTTTCACGTGTGGACATATTAAAAGAGCCGCACGCAAAAATACCCACCCTCTGTTTCCCTCCTGCCCACTTCTAATTTTCACCTTTTTCTCTCCTCTCCTCTCTGCTATCTCCTCTCCTCTTTTTCTCCTCTACTTTATCCTCTCTTTCTCTTTTTCCCCGCCGACCTCTCCTATCCTCTCCTCTCCTCCCCGCAGCAACGGCTGGGCGTAGGCGGCGACGGCGGCGCGGCGACGGTGCGCAGATTCGGTAGCCAGCCGCCCTCTCCCCCGCGGGATCTCGTTCCCCTCCCCTCCCCTTCCTTCTTCCCTCCCCGAATCCGGCAGAGGGGAGGGGCATCGGTGGCGGTGCGGCCGGAGGGGAGCGAGGAGGCCGTCGGGAGTGCAGATCCGGCGGCGGCCCGCCCTCCCCCCACGGGATTCGGCTCCCCTCCCCTCCCCTTCCTTCCGTCCCCAGATCCGGTGGAGGGGAGGGGCGTCGGCGGCGGGTGGCGCGGAGGCCGGCGAGAGGGCGGATCCGGCGGCTGGCGGCGTGGAGGCCACCGCCGACGACGACGAGGGTGGGAGCGGCGCCCTCTCGACGACTACGACGAGGAAGAGGATGAGGACGACGACGACAAGGAGGCGGCGGCTAGGAGCGGCGGTGCAGCAGCTGGATTCGTTTTTTGAAATTTTATTTTTTTCGGAATTTTGTTTTTCTGTGCGGGCGACATAAGCACCCGCCGGCGAAAATCCGGCGACGCCGCATTCGTTTTTTGAAATTTTATTTTTTTTCGGATTTTTGTTTTTTCGTGCGGGCGACATAAGCACCCGCATGCGAAAATCGGATTTTTCGCGTGCTGGTGTGCCACCCGCACGCAAAAACCGCGATTTTCGCAGACCCTTGGTTGCGTGCGGGCTGTCCACCCGCACGCGAAAATCACATTTGACCGCATGTAAAAGTCACGATTCTAGTAGTGGAGCTTCGGTGGCAAACATGATCAGATGTGCGCATCGAAGCATGTTTCAACAGGGGCTTCCGTTTTCATGGAACTTGTTGATAGATATGGAACGGTGGTGGCAGGAACCGATGGTGCCGATTTGGGAGAGGGGGGGGGGGGGGGGGCATGGCGTCCATCCATGGTAAAGAAGGAGGAAATGTTGCTAGCGCGACGGAGCAGCGAGAGAAGGCCAGGGTCGTTGGAGATGCGGAGGCTAAGGTGCGGGAGTGTCTCGGCAACTAGCGACAACATTTCAGAACTGAGGCTTACATATATACGGCCCGTATATCCTATAGCAAAACTTGCAAAACTTCAGTGTGAATAGTCAACGATCATGCTAGAGCAAGTTTAATAGTATAACCCACTACTAGCTCTAATTTATCTATAGCCAATGTAATAGCCAATTCATACATTAGATGCTTACTATACTATTAGTATATGGTCCCACCTGTCATACACACATTACGTCTTGGAGTCCGTACTGTAGCTGGCTACGGCTACAGATCTATAGCCCGCTACTCTTCTCTCTCATCTTTTATCTCATTAAAATATGGTTGTAGCTAGCGAATAGTCTGCTATTGTACCTGCTCTTAGTATATTCACGCAATGATGTATTCATGCCAGTTTAATTATGCATAACAAGAGCCAACAGTGATATTGAAAATACTAATCATGCGGTTCATAACGTAAGCCGACTGTACAGTTCACTTTTAAAATTTGATTTCTTTTTTTTTTTGGTCTAGACTCTTTTGTCATTTATTGCCGGCTCTAAAAAAAATCGTGCAAGCAGTAGCCCCTTTAAATTCTAAGCGATCCTTACAAAATTCATACCGAAGGATAACCATGACACAACATATATAGAATTAAGATTTGAACCATGGTTTGAAAATTATACACTACTGAAGAGAACTGATCTTTCGTGGATCATGTAAAAACCACATTATAGTCCTAGTTCGTATAGGAACCGGGACTAAATATCATTTTTAGTATCGGTTAAAAAGCCCAACGAGACTCCAATCGGGACTAAATATCATTTTTAGACCCGGTTAAAAAAGGCGTCAGGCTATAAGATGTCGTGTGTCAGGCCCTCATTATCTTTAGTCCCGGTTGGTAGACTAAAAATCAACACTTTACATAAAAAAATCGCGCCAAGCCAGACGCTTTTCCGCCTCGATCTCCCCGCCTCATCTTATCTCCTTCGCACGCCTCCTCCTCCTTATCTCCTCTGCACACCTTCTCCTCCTTATCTCCTTCGTCGCTCCTCCTCCACTCCTCCTCCAGGTCTGCTTCGCACGCATCCCCTCCTCCCCTTACCCTCTCCGTCGGTGGCGTGGGTGGCGGCAGGTGGCAGCGAGCGGCGGGAGTTGGCGGCAAGCCGCCGGGGCCCTCCTCCTCCTCTTCCCCATCCGCCGCCGGCGAGGAGGATGAAAAGCAAGAGCAAGGAGAGGAGAATAAAGAAAAAAATTGTGGATGATTTTGTTGTAGATTTTTTAGATGTTTGTTGTAGATTTTGTTATTGCATTTGATCCGTGATGTTAATTTTGATGTTGTTGCATTCAATCCGTGCCGTTGGAAAAATAATTTTGATGTTGTTGCATTTGATCTTTGGCGTTGGAAAAAACAATGAAAAAAAAAACAATACGCAAGCAAAAAAATGGAAAAAAACTATAGTCCCGGTTAGTAACACCAATTAGGACTAAAGATGATAGCAACAACCATATGGCGTTACTATCTTTAGTTAGTCTCGGGTAGTGTTACTAACTGGGAACACTAACCGGGAGTTCAAGAGTAAAGATATCTCTTTAGTCCCGGATTCAGGGTCCCGGTTTGCAACCTGAGACTAAAGGGGTTGCAAATTAAACCGGCACTAAAAACCACTTCTCCAGCAGTGATATCAATTTATGTAGCCACACTGTACCACCAAAATGGTTGAGGAATTTTTCCGAAGGAAAAAATAAGTAGCAGATGCTTTCTAAGGGAAAAAAATGAATAACCGACTTAATTACCATCAATCAATCAATAATAGTCGCGGCTTTGACCAGTGGCCGGAGACGGAGCTCATTCATATCCTCTCCCTCTGTAACCGTAAAGAAAGTCGTTTAGGATAGCGACACGGTCTCCAAAACACAACTTTGACTTTTTTTTATAAAAATATTTATTGAAAAGTGATATATGTATACTTTTATGAAAGTATTTTTCAAGACAAATCTATTCATATAATTTTTATATTTTCAAACTCAACAACTTGAAAGTTATTAATGATTTATATTTTCAAGGTTTGACTTAAACACTGTGCTAAACGATTTACTTTATGAGTATGGAGGGAGTATATGGAAAACCACGTACGAATGCTAAATTAAGTTACATAGGCATGCATGACTTAATAACCACTAAATCAGGGATGTTTCCTTGCTAACGGAAATGATCGAGTAGCTGACTTTGCTATCGATTGATCAATAATCACAGCTCCAACTTGAAAAGGCTAATGCATGGTACGGTGTTTCATGAGGAGAAATGAACTGTTGCCAACTTGCCATCAATTGATCAATAACCACGACTTTCAACTCGAGAAAACTAAATTAAGTTAATTATATACCAATAATCAAAATTTAATTGTATACATTATTCTAGGAGAAATGGATGATTGTGTATAAAAAAAACGTGAACTTTCGATGCTATATAACCAATTTTGCCTATTTAAAAATAGAATTATGATCGAGAATTGACGGAAGTGCTAAAAATGGGAACATGGTGAACTTTAGGTGCTATTAAAGTGAACCGGTATCTTTCGGTGCTATAAAACCAAAAATGTGAACTTTCGATGCTATATAACCAATTTTGCCTTTTAAACATATTGTACCCACAAATTACAGCTGTAGTATGCATAGAAATATATATCGTGTACAAATTAAATTGTATGCATGGAAAAAAAATTAGGAGTCCAACACTATTCAGTTTCAAATAGAAAACCATAATTATATTTATAGAAAAAAACCAATTGTGAAAAATCCAACTCTACCTTTATATTTATAGAAAAAAACCAGTTGTGAAAAATCCAACTCTACCTTTTATCAAGCTCTGCTAATAATGGTAGCGACTTTTGGTTGGCGACCGGAATCGCATCCAGGGACACGCACCTCTGTCTAGCACTGGGCACATCTATGCTTTCTATATAAGTGAGAACACAAACAAGCACAACGTTTAGCCACGTCATCAAAATAGTTTCAACTGTTGGATCGACAAGACCTTCCAGTATTAGCCGTTAGATAAAAGTCCCCTCCACTTCCTCACCAATTAAACAACACCATTAACCACCACCCCATCTAAATGCTATCTATTTAATCAGGTAGTCAATTGAACCATAATACAATCAAGATATCAGATCATATTTACTATTCCAACCATCATTCAATCAATTATATATATATATATATATATATATATATATATATATATATATATATATATATATATGTATATATATATATATATGTATGTATATGTATATATGTATATATGTACATACAAGAAAGTAGATATTTTCTATTTTTTTAAATTGCTTAGTAATTTCCGCAGTAAAATGCGGGGTATCACCTAGTATCTGAAGATAATTAAGAAACCAAATTAGTACACCTAGCTCTGTCTGTCTAGCTTAACGCCGTGTGTACGTGTATCTGCTTAATTAATAAGAGTGATCAGAGAAGCAACCAGTAAGTACGCTGTGCAGCTTGTGCTCCATCCATGCTGTACGTACGTATATATAGCACGTACAATAATAATAGTTCCAACTTGACATGCATGAACGAACACGTAGCTAGCTAGCTAACTTGCTGGCCCCTGTATAAATACCCCTATATACCTAGCCCTATCATCCATCCATCCAGCCAGCCAAACAGTAGCAACATGAGTACTTCAGCTCGCCGCCTCCTCCTCCTCGCCGGCGCCGCTGCCGCCATCGCACTCCTGCTCTCGGCCACTGCCCCGGTGGCCGGAGCCGAGGACGACGGCTACAGCTACATCCCTGGCTCACCCAGGGGGCCGCAGAACTGGGGCAGCCTGAAGCCGGAATGGGCCACCTGCAGCAGCGGCAAGATGCAGTCGCCGATCAACCTCGGCCTCCTCGACCTCACCTTGGCTCCCGGCCTCGGCAACCTCAACTACACCTACCAGAACGCCAACGCCTCCGTCGTCAACCGTGGCCACGACATCATGGTCAGGTTTGACGGCGACGCCGGTAGCCTAAAGATAAATGGCACGGCGTACCAGCTCCGGCAGATGCACTGGCACACGCCGTCGGAGCACACCATCGATGGCCGGAGGTACGACATGGAGCTGCACATGGTGCACCTCAACGCCCAGAACCAGGCCGCCGTCATTGGCATCCTCTACACCATCGGCACCCGGGACGAGTTTCTGCAAAAGGTCTGTTGGATTCATAATTCACATAGTTTGCACGCATGGCTAATGCTTCTAACAAAAATCAACATTTGTAACTTTTAATAGTAACTCACGTATTTGTTGTCATTAGGTTCATATTTGAAATACTATATATATGATGTTAATTTCATGGTTATCGACGATACTCCCTCCATCCCAAAATATAAGGCTCAACCGCTACTAACACAAAGACCAAGAAAGAATTTAATCACCTCCTTGATTGAATTGCATCCATACATGCAAGCAATGTGATTGGAAGACTTAATGGTACATGAATTAAAATAAATCAAATCTAAAGAATTAAGAGGTGATAGGAAATGTATTCATACATGCATGCCTTATATTATGAGACATTGGAAAAAAAGTGGTTCTGCCTTATATTTTGGGATGGAGGGAGTATATCATAAAATAAACTATTTGTATTTGTTTTAACTTATTAGAGACCATATAGAAAACTAATATGCCTTCTATTGTAGAACAAAGGAAGCACTGATAATATCATCAATGGTTTGTCATGTCTATTTTAATGTGATAGTTTGGAGCAACTGATGAACCAAGATAGACATATATTCTTGGTATGCTGAACTTCTTGTTGCATGCAGCTAGAGCCTTATATAATTGAGATATCAAAGCAAGAAGGCAAAGAGAGAGTGATCATTGGTGGGGCGGATCCAAATGTAGCCAAGGGACAGGATACCGTGTACTACCGCTACATGGGCTCCTTTACCACACCACCTTGCACTGAGGGAGTCATCTGGACCGTTGTCAGGAAGGTATGTATACATGCAATAAGTAGGATAATTTAACATTTTAAAACTATTTGTCGCGATCTCAAATCAAGTGTTATTTCTTGTCAAGAATTAATCTTTAAACAGGATACCGTATGTACCACATTTAGTTTCTTAGTGACGATATATTAAAATCCTTAAATATAGTAGAAATAATAAATATCTAAGAGAATTCTCAATAAATAGTGTTTATGGTAAGGTCTAATAGGACAAATAAGTAATAAATTGGCATCCAAGGAACAACCTACTCAATAGTAGCTTCTACCTATCTAGCTCTCTCCCAGAGAGTACAACTTTCAAGCCCAACTCTACACAAGTTTCTTTGTTTCCTTTTCCAAGGCCTTGGATAAAATTAACCCAGTTTCAATCTCTTGCCACCTTTTATCCCACATATCACATTATTAAAGTTGTAAACAATCTATAACATGAAGCACCGGGAATGTGCTAAGGCGACCACGTTCAGTTTTAGTTGGTGAGGGAAGTTCTTTTAGTTATGTACTTATGTTCCTACGCTTTCTGTCTTTTTTCTTCTTCAGGTGCGCACCGTGTCACTGTCCCAAATCACACTTCTCAAGGCAGCTGTGCTCACGGTAAGTGAAAAAGCCATTCATGTTTAATATCTATTAATAGATGACAGTGAACAATTATTTCATTTGTTATTACTTATGATCTGCATATGTGCATACATGCAGGGTAACGAGAACAACGCGAGACCCCTTCAGGGCGTGAACAACAGGGAGATTGACCTGTTCCTTCCTCTCCCTCTCATCAACAACTGAACAGCATGCTTGACATACACAGCTGATTTACAACGCATCGCCTGACACACGCATGGAGAATCAGCAAACATATGTGTACTAATAAATATATAGTATTACTCATGTTTGTGTAATCTTATCCTAATGGTGTCGCTTATATATATATATATATATCGTCTTGATCACCTAGCTTCGTAAAGAGAGATCAGCATATATGTTGTTCAATCACATCTGCATAGCATAATAATGCATGCATAGATTTTATATGTATCTCTTTCCGGTGCTGCTATGTGTATCTCTATATGATTAAATAAAAATACCAATGTTTTATAATTATGTAAATCATCATATTCATCTTCGTAGCATAGAAAGTATGTTGATAAAAATTTGGTTGCCTTGGAGTAGGCCAACTTAATATATAGTACTATCCAGCTGGAATTGTGCTATGGTAAACTTAAAATGAGAAAAATTCTTTGTGTACACCTGATCATATTGAGCATATCCATTTTTTAAGGGAAGGTCATATATATCCCTTTTGTATACATGGTAACCTTATCTTTAATGGGTGGTTAAATTGACCAATTAGATGGTGTTTGGAGGAATGACCTGTTAGGGCATGTACAACGGTGTTTATTAGTGGTCTCTCTCTATTGCCATGGAAGTAAATTTGATGACATGGAAGAAAGAGAAAGGAGTATGGTTGTTATGCATGACAACAGCTCAGAGTCGACTCTTAGCATTTATTAGAGCAAATTTTGTTGCATGGTGGTGAAAGAAAGGAAATAAAAGTAAGAAAAAGTATTTTGATACATTAATGATTAGAGACCATATTGTCTCTAACTGTTGTAGGATACTAGTATCTAAATAACGTAGAGCTCATATCCGACTCTACCTTTGTACATGCCCTTAGAGATGTATGAACCCTGCACTGTCAGTCGACGTCCTGTGTTTCCATAGCATAACATCTGGAATGATTTGTTATTACGAGATACGGTGAATGACACACGTAATGTGTCATTTATTATGAATCGTTTATAGATGAGGGTCTTCATCTATAATGGCTTATAAATATGACACATTAGAGATGAGTTCTTCTCTCTAATTGGCCTGGTTTTTAACTGTTACATCAATGACTAATACCTGATCCGTTCAAATGTTAATGTCCAGCCCGCATGGCCTGCTCTCTCTCTCTCTCTCTCTCTCCTCACTAGCTACATCTCAGCTAGCTATGGCATCTGCCTTGCGTTGTGCTTAGTTACATTTCTAGGTGCACAATTGGCTCCAATATTGTCCTCATTTTTTTTGTTGACTTTGTTCATGCCTACAACTTAACCCTTTTGCCCTGTGTGTGCTCTCTGATTGGTCTCACCCTTTGGTCGTCCTATACATGCCTTCCTAAAAGGTAAGCTTGTATGTAGGCCACCTTGTTCACGAGATCACTTACTTGATCCTAGTACAATCGTCTAATCTTTCTTATTTACCTCTTATCTCTTTTGTCAATATTGTTGATCTTTCTAAAAACTATGTTGCCAATCTTTCTAATGTTCGATCATCAATATATTTGGAGCTACCTCTTGATTTAGTTCATGAAAACACATAATTAGATTTTTCACTCAAAAATCTGGTTTCATAAAATTACAAGCTTATATGAAAAATGTCAATGTTACGGATCAGGTATACATCCTATACTTAGATTCGTAGCTACCATAAAATACAGAAAATTATATTTAAATATGGTACATAACTAGATAAGAATGAAAACTCCCTCCACATGAATAGATGTTGTCGGAGTCCGACCTGAAAAAGGCAAGGTCTTATCTACCCACATTCCACAAGGGCTCTCCGACTTTAACTTGGAGAGGAAGTTGCCTACCCATATAAATACAATGTTCCCTAGAAGGGGAGGGCATGGAATCACAAGCCATAGCTACAAGCCACAAAGCAAATTCGTCCGGTGGAAGTAAATATAGCTAGCCCCCAACTACAAGTCATCGGATAGTTCTCGGCGCCTAACAGTTGTTAGGCTAATATTAGCTAGCTTACTCCACCATTGTCATGGGCCACCAAAATCTCAGGACAAGTCCGTGAAATATATAGTTTTTCCATCTCACCTCTGTACGGTCTTCTTTTCTTATCTGCTCTGTTGTAAATGTAAGCCGTTATAGCACTTAGTCACTTGTCGCTTATCTTTTTTTTGTCAAATGCCCTTGTTAATTAAATTCTACCACTCATACGAGACATCATTTCTATAGAGAAGAATATTTGAGACATTGTGAGGCCTCAGCCTGAGATGTGCCCGTCAAACAACTCGAAGGCGGCGACTAAATGTGTTACACATTCAGGAGACTTGACAAAATGGCTAGAGATCTACAACATCTCAAATATTCTTAACTCGTACTCATGTGAATCTAGTTCCCAGGATATGCACTAGATTCACACTTTCATCTTAAGTATGGTTATACATAACAAACACAAATAAGATGAAAGCGATTAAAATTTGTAACTACTCTAGAGATACATAGGCCGACCAGCCAAATAAATATATGAGAGAACAGCGGAAGCTTGACTACCCAATCCTCAAGCACACTGACTAGGGTTTACCCCATTAAGTTCAAGTCCTAGAAGAAGCAGGCGAAGCCTAATTTATAGATTTGATTGAGCTATCATAAACTAATTTATAGATTTGATGTGGTATATCACAAAGCTAATTTAACATTGAACTTACCTTGAAACTATAAATTTAAGATATACTATAACAAGAGCACACATTTAGTGTAAGTTTTATCACAAAACTACAACGCTTAATTATATTTTGAGCTGAACACTAGAGGTCTAAACTCTATAGATTTATGGTAACTTTGTCAGTAAATCTGTATTTGTGTGATATTTCACCTTAAAAATATAGTTTCATCATAAATTTGCTGCTAAGTATATACTTGTGCAATATGATTGCCCTTTTATCTATTTTACAGATTTACTCTATTAAATATGTACGTAAGAGAGAACACATGAAACTCTTCTAAGATCACTTTTAGTGTATATGAGAATGATTTGACATCATTTTGAGGAGTTTTGGTTTGGTTATTGTTCTTTCTTGGTGCCATGTTGCAAAATTATGATTTGAGGGGGTTATAGTACATATGAAAAGTGGTTACCCACTTGAACAATTGGCTTTCTTCTCACTATTTGATGAGTCTATTCCTCTCCACCCCTCAATCTATTGGTGCCATGCATGCTATCCTAATTTAATTGGTCTTCCTCCATAGCTGTCCTATCCACGCCTTCATAATAGATAGGCCTATATGCAGTCATCGTGTTTGGGTGGTCACCCACATACTCATCTGGTACAATAGTCCGATCTTTCCCACTTCTGACCACTCTTGCCCATGTTTCCAATCTTTTTAAAATTTGTCACCAATCTTGTAAAGTTCATGTATTGGCTTAGCTTCGTTTTAGGCGGAAGGGTTTCTAGGAGATTTTCCTCGTGGCTTGTTGGCACATTTGGAAACTGCGTATTGGAAAGATTTTTCAGAATATTGATATTTGATGCTTGGTGGACTGCCTTCAGACATAAGATTCTCCTACATATCTATAGGATGAATAACCCCCTACGACAAATAGTTGTTGATTGGTTACAGCTTTTGTAGTTCTTTGATCTTTATTTTTGCCTTTTATGTACGTATCTCTGTCAAACTGTTTTATTCCCTTCAGTTATAAAAATCACACTGTTAGGAAAGGCGCCTGGCAGTTTTCCCTTTTTTTTTCTAAAGTTCATGCTTTATTAATATACATAGAATCAGCTAGATTTATTTTATGAAAAACACAAAATTAGATTTGTCACTGAACAAGCGGTTTCATAATATTACAAGCTTAATTATTATATTAAACATCAATATGAATCTATATGAAAAATAATAGCTAAAGTCACACCCATGAAAAGTCAAAAACATCCAAAGATTTTGTATATGGTACCGTGATCAAATAGCCTAATATGTACCAATGGAGATTTTGGATATGGTACTGTGATCAAATTGCCTAATACATATATGGAGCGAGTAATGATTAATTGCCACTACTCTAGGTAATGTTCATTTCTGACTAAGATATGGATTTTACCCCATTTATGTTAGAATGTTTTTTTTCAAACTGATAAATATGGTGTATTTCGTGTGAAAACTTCCTATATAAAAACTGTTGTAAAATATCTGATATATATTTTTTCAAGTTAAAAATAATTATAACTTAATTAACCATGTGATAATAGTTTTCTCATTTTATATACCCGTAGTTAATCTTCATCCATCACCTGTTCAATCCGATGGCTCGTATATTTTTGTGCTCTTCCTTACCGTAAACCTTTTCCTTTTCCTTTTTCCATATAATCTTGACCTATAATCTATATATGTACATCGAGTATATTTACATAAAATAATAGCCCCCCTAAGAAATATAAAATAATAATGAGAGCTTAAATATATGTTTGGTTGTCAGGTCTCGCCAGAGCTACCTAGCGAAGAATCCAATTAAGGCCTCGTTTAGTTTCCACACAAAAATTTTATACACTATCATATTAAATATTTGAATAGATGTATAAAGTATTAAATATAGACTAAAAAATAACTAATTGCACATATTGTGATTAATTTGCAAAACGAATCTTTTAAGCCTAATTGCTCCATAATTTAACAATGTGGTGCTACAGTAAACATTTGCTAATGGCGATTAATTAGGCTTAATAAATTCGTCTCGCTGTTTACTGACGGATTCTATAAATATTTTTTATTAGTGCCCGAATACCCCACGCGATACCCTATATAATACCCGATGTGACACGCAAAAATTTTACACCCCTGGATCTGAACACCCCCTAAGTTTTCTTTTTACTGGATAAACACCCCCTAAGTTGATGATTAATTTATTATCCATATGCATGTTACCACATATAGATAGGTCAGCACAACTGGCCTTAATTAACCTTTTTTATTTGTTGTTGTCGACACAAGCAGTCCCCTACATATATAATTTGGCCATTAGATTTCTACTTATATTTTTATGAAAACTAAGAAAACATGCAGTAACCTTCTTTTATTTGAAAGCATTTCACATGATAAATCAAAAATATTTTTAACTACGCCTACACGCGTTTGGCATTCTAGCTAAAACTATATCCATTTGTCGGTGATATGGGACCGGGAGTATCATGACCAGAGGCTTGAGGCAGACGCAACCGCCCACGTGGCCTGGCACCTTCGGGGACGTCGGGCCCGAGGGTGAGGTGTCCGCCCTCCTCCTGATTTCCCCCGAGGGGGGGTCGGGTTGCGCTTGCCCCGGCC